GATGAAATACGGCCGATTGTATTGGGTCAACCTGCTACCCCCGATTAAGCGGAATCCGCAAGTTTCTCAACAATGACGAAAAAAAAAGAGCATGATTTTTGCTAAGTAGGCATATATTGATTTGGTCCAATAAAAATGACCAATGAAGTGTCGTAAACCCAGTTACAAATGAATATAGAAATGCATTTAGATGCCTCAGATGAGATGGTAAAGTGGATAAGAAGTGTATGGACGAGGTTAGCGACGAACATTGGCCGCTAGTGATTCACCCCGCTTCAACCGGACCACATTTACTCCTTTGGGGTCCATTCCGAACATACGTCGGACTCTGTCCCCTATTCGCTCTTGGCCATCGCGCTGGGGGAGTGGTGATCAGTGGACCCTTTCTGTGTATTTGGTGAAGGGTATACTCACAAGAACTTTGACATCGCCATTAGTCTTGGTAATGATGGACATATCCTCACGTCTACGACCTGAACGTGAGCGAGAAGAGTAATAGCGTGAAGACGAAGATGGCTGAAGGCGTATCAGACATAGCTATTCCAGAATCCGATCATCTTTGGACTTACATAGTATCCACTGCTATAGGACCTCGAAGAGTAGTACCGTGGATTACGGTAGGCATCGGTGTAAGGGTCCTCATATCTGCTGTAGTCGCGGTCATAATAGTAATCGTCGTAGTCTCGTCGTGACGATCTTCTGGATGCTCTTGAGCTGCTTCGTCGGGGATAGTAATCGTCATCATCATAGTATCGCCTTCCACGATCGTAGTCTCTGTCGAAATAGTCTCGCCCATATCGATAGTCGCGGTCATAGAGATCTTCTTCGTATAGGGACCTTCGCCCGGTATCATAGACAGAAGGTGTTCGCGTAATGACAGGGGGATACGAGTCCACTAGGGGAGAGCCGTACTCGCTTCCCATACCACCCATCATGAGGGCATTTCCACCATACGGCGTAGCGTAGGGTGTGCCTACAGGCATACCCCCAACAGGCATACCCGCAATAGGCATGTGCCCTGGAGCTACGATGCTGGGATGATAAGAGACTCCGCTATGATAAGACATTGGTTCAGGCTATTGGTGTGATAGTGTCGTGATGGTTGGAATGGGGGTAGTAGACGTCTCCGTGACCAGGTTAGAGTATTGAGGCGGGGACGAAAGGAGGTGGGTATATAACGTTTGCTATGTGGCACGTTTTTGCCTAACCTGAGCCTCAGTGAGACGGTGAGGTCGGAGCTTCGTAGCAATCAAAGGGGGGTGCGCTAGGCCTGGGGGCGATAGGTAAGGGGAGACAGTTAATTGCACGTAAGGCATGTTTATAAGGTGGAGGGTTGTTTGACTTCTTGTACGCCTGGAAGGGGACCCTGGACACCTGGAGGCGGGTTGCTTTGTCCACCTGTCACCCTCACCTTGAGGGATCTCTATGCAATCACCTCAGGCTGGACCTTGCGTATGTATTAATCTGCTATGATTGGTCCGTGGTCCTAAGAAATAAGGGTACGGGTGGGGCTCTTGCTCCAAGACCGCGGATTCGGTAGCTTAATTGATTGGGGAGCACAGGCTTCAGGCAATAGCTGGAGCAGATTCAGCGAGATATGTGCAGAATAAATATATTACATACGTAGCTGTGGTGTGCAGAAATGCATCCTGACTCAAGTGACGCAGCCTTCTCGAAGCCGTGGTCAATCAACCTCAGTAGGGTGCTGGCCTCTGAGATCGATACCTGGTCATTGGACAGCCGGCCAGGAAGATAGAGCCAATCAAGAAGCGATTCGATGATTTGTCAGACTGAGTCACCAGCCTCAAACTGTCCTCCAAGATCGCATTCGCGTTCAATCACGAAATTTTCCACTACTCGTTATCTCGTCCAAGAATATAGACGTTCAAACATGTTTCTGCGGGCGGTCGAACCAGATTCTATTGAAGATCGCGAAGCGCTCGTCCAAATGAGGATTGCGTGTGGGTGGCACAGTCACCACGTACCTATTTGGCTTGAAAATATTCGAGCTGGGAAGTTGTTGGTTTGGTTCATCTGTGAACCGTCCACCGGTGCTACCTCAGACGGTGTTAATCCACCTTCGAAATATGATTTGCTGGGGATGATCGGCTTGATCCTCGAAAAACCACCATCTCCAGAGAATACCATATCC